GGATCCGAACCCCGGCTGGTTGACCCACAGCCTCCTTCCGTCCCCCGCTCCATGCAGCCTCTTCTAGGAAAGATCTCAGAAAATCAAGACAGTTATCCTGCCGGAGTTCCGAAAAGCAAGCTTTATCATGCGAAATAGGAGACAGCTGGTAAAAACTCATCAGTATCTGTTAGGATCAGCAAAGGCTCTGAACTGCTGACTTCCTTCATCTGCCACTTTAGGGGAAGAGGCAAAGAGATGTAATGGGAAAGAACACCTGAGCTTGACTCCTGGCTCAGCTGTTTATTATCTGTGTGATTTACTTAGCTCCCTGAGCCCCAGTTTCCTTACCTGAAAGGTGGGGAATAAGAGAAACTGCCTAGCAGACTCATAAGAATTTAAAGAGACGATGCATGCAAACAACTGGCATAGTGCTTGTCACAAAGTGGGCACTAACTCAAGGCTGCTACCCTTCAAGCAGTCATTGCTCATTCATTCTATAAGCATCTATTGAGTGGCTGCTGTGTGCTGGGCACCGGGTAATCATTGGGATAAACACATGAGTCAGACATTTCCTGCCTCCAAGGAGCTGACAGTTGGTAGAGTGACAGGCACATAAACAAATAAGTTTGACCACGTGCCACAGGAATACGTGGGGCCAGAGTGAGAGCACATATGAAGGAGTGGGTATTTCTAAGTGAACAGGTAAAGGGACACAGAATAGGCTTCAAAGAGGAGGTAGCCGTGTTTACATCCAGGCAACTCAAGCTAGCTGGTCCTGTGCAACTCCTGTGGCTGATCTCTCACCACCATAAATCTTGTCTCAGGGAAAAGATGAAAAAACAACCCACTTTTCCTAAAAGCATTTTAAAAATCTATGCAAATTTTGGAAAGCAAAACAGGAAGTCAAATTATAGGCAAGGAAAGCACTCCTTCCTTAGCAAGTCTCTTTGCTTTGGAAGTTTCCTGCCAGGATGTTGACCAGAGAGAGAAACGGCCTGACTAAGAATCATTTGTTCCTCAGGAGTTTCTTTAAAAAGAAGCTGATTTCTTTATTTTCACATTCTCTGTGGCCTTGGGAAACACCTTCTACAAAAATAGAACTATCCAAAAGAGATTAAGGAGAAACGACTCCTTTCGGGTTTAAACTGTCCATATATGACAGTGGCATTACTGCCTTCGAGTCTGCAGAGTTTTTATGTAAAGCACGTTACAGCGGGAGGGGGCTGGGACAGGCTGCCTGAGTTTGGGTTCTGGCTCCACCATTAAATAGTTATGTGACCTTGGGGCTGTTGGGAGACATAAATGAGATGATACCCATACGGTGATGACCAGGCCACCTGGCCCAAGAAATGTTAACATTTAGTTATCATTTTGTTTCCCCTTAGAATCCATCTATTATAGCCCATGAGGCTAAGCATGGTCTGTTCCACCTTCCCCGTGTGGTTCTGTGCTCCTGGTCACTCTGTCCTCTTCTTGGTTCAACACACGACATGCTCCCCCACTGAGTCTTCTCACCACTGTGCCTTTACCGTGACCAGCTCTCACCTCCCCCTTCATCTGTCTGACTGCTATTCATCCTCTGCATCTCAGCTCAAGCAACTTGCTCAATGAAAACCTCCCTGACCTCCCAGCCTAGGTGAGGTGCCCTGGTGAATGTGCCCATACGTCTGGGAAGTTTTCCATTGTGACAATGTCACACTTGCAGTTACTTGTTCATGTCCAATTTCAAACTAGAATGTAAGCTACGAGAGGCTGCTGGCTCCAGGCATCTAGCTTGGTACCTGGAGTGTAATTATATTCTATAGATACCTGTTGACTGGGCAGTAGGTAAGCAGGTATTATTATCCCCCTCACAGAGGAAGAAACCAAGAAGCCAGTGAGTATAAGAGCAGACTCATGATCACACAGCTAGGGGTCTCAGGACCCAGGACTTGAATCCTGGCCTCTGTCTTGAAACACAGTGGTGCTTCCAGGAAAAAGCCCCAGTGACTGAGTTTAGAGTACTTGGACTCTCATTCATCTACTCTATAAACGTGCAGAAATGTCAAAAACCTACTATCATGCCACAGAAATATTGGGGAGCTGGGTCTCTCTTTCGATGAAAACCCTCTCTTTTCAGTCCCAAGCAGGGTCCTTTCTCAACCCTTTCCTTCTTACTGATAACACAAGTCCCAAGGATGTCTTTTGCTTACCTCTTCTTCCCAGGGTTCCGGCGACTCTTCACTGGGAGCCCCTTTCTTTGCTTAGTTTGAGTTTCAGAATAGTGTAGAGGCATGCATCCCACTCTTCAGTTTCATCCTCTGCTGTGATTGTGAGACAAGCACACAATCTCATTTTTATTTTTATTTTTTTTTTGCGGTACGCGGGCCTCTCACTGTTGTGGCCTCTCCTGCTGCAGAGCACAGGCTCCGGACGCGCAGGCTCAGCGGCCATGGCTCACGGGCCCAGCCGCTCCGCGGCATGTGGGATCCTCCCGGACCGGGTCACGAACCCATGTCCCCTGCATCGGCAGGCGGACTCTCAACCACTGCGCCACAAGGGAAGCCCCTCATTTTTATTTTTAAAGGTTTTTACTGCTTGGTGGAAATAAAGTCACATGCATACATATACACATATACCTAAAGACAAACACTGGGGAGGCAAAAAAACTTCAAGAAATCTCAAAAGTCTCCAGTAGTAATTGTCCCTGACTTTCATCTTTTCTGTCAGTTATCATTTGAGGGGACTGTCCTGGATGCCCCCATCCCCATCCACATGCTCATGTGGCTGACGGGGGAAGATCAGGCACGGTGCCCTAAGTTCACAGAGGAAGGCTTTGTAATGAAACTCAAAATAGGAAAGAAGAGAGATATTTTAAAAGTATAATAAAGACCTAGTGGGTGCTAACTGCAGAGATTAACCAGAAGATGATATCTTTAGGGAGTGCCACCAGTGAGGAGGGGACCATGTGTGGAGATGGCCTAGCTAGAGAAGTAGTAACACTGACTCCTTGGTGGACTTACTTCTCCCCACAGAAGAGCTACAGATACTTCCTCCAGATCAAAGACAAGGAGGAAAGCCCAGGAGTTGTGGGGGAATGGGAGGAATCAAAGCAAAGGAAATACAACCTTTCACAGATTTATATTTTCATAGTTTTCTTCCCATCCTCGTCTTACATTTCCTTGGGACAACTGGTATACCCTATTCCATCACTCTTTTCTTTCTTTTTTTTTTTTTTCCCTGATGGTGGACCTTCTTCTACTTACCAGGTTGTCATGCAAGATACCCAGATAATCCTGTTAGGGTGAAACAATAGGAGCCAATCAATTGGTTTAAGTGTTCTAGACCCAAGTTTCATTTTGCTTCAAAGCAATAAGCAAGGGACTTCCCTGAGGTCCAGTGGTTAAGACTCCATGCTCCCAACTCAGGGTGTCCGGGTTCGACCCCTGTCAGGGAACTAGATCCCGCATGCTGCAACTAAGAGCCCACATGCCGCAGCTAAAGGATCCTGCATGCCGCAACAAAGATCCCACATGAGGCAACGAAGATCCCGCGTGCTGGCAAGCCAAGACCCAGCACAGCCAAATAAATAAATATTAAAAAAGAAACTTATTAAAAAAAAAAAGCAACAAGCAAGTCCCTTCCCTCCCAAATCTCACCTGCAGCATATAGGAAAAGTCAAATTAGGCATTTCTGATGCAAAATTGTCAGGGGGCCCGGGTTCGATCTCTGGTCGGGAACTAGATCCCGCACGCACGCGACAACTAGGAGTTCGCATGCCACAGCTAAGGAGCCCACGAGCCGCAACTAAGGAGCCCACGTGCTGCAAGTAAGGAGCCTACTTGCTGCAACTAAGATCCGGCACAACCAAATAAATAAATAAATAAATATCTTTAAAAATTTGTTGGAGTAAGGAAAGAGGAATGAGAGAGATAGATTCTTTCTCCTGAGAGACATTCACCTGAATGTCTTTTGTCGTCTTGAACAGTAGGGTCCTGTGGTATAGCCCCCGTCCCTGAAAAACATGGCGATTCCTAGGAAATGTTCTATCCATGTGGACCAATGATTGAAGGAGTGTTAAGTATATAAAAAGAAGGGGGGAAGCTATATGCCCTTCCTGTCAAGAGCAGAAACCAAGCCTTCATCTTCTTTATATCTCCACAGCATAGTGTAGGGCTTGGCGTGAGAGAGCATATCAATAAAGGTCTGTTGAACAGAAGAAAACTTTGGAAATGAGGATTGCTGAGAGCACTGTGATTCGATGCAGGTTGAATGACTGCTGGGAATGGCCTTTAGGAACAGAAGAGGAGGAAGAAAAGATTAGGGGAGCTGACTGGAGGTGTGTGTTCACAAAAGGGGAAAGCGAGTTTTGGGAAATTTATGTGAGCATGAAATTAGGGGAGGATCATGACTTCCAATACCCAGGGCCACATGTAGTGTAGCCTGGCCTGATTGTGTGGACGTGACCTGACCCAGATAGCAGGACCTTATTCCTCAGTGATGGAATAGATGAGGCAAAGGACTGTTGGTTGGGCTGGACAGAGGATGTAATTAAGAAGTAAATCTGGTATCAGCTATAAAATTGGAACTGCAAAAAGCTCTATCAGGGGCTTCCCTGGTGGTGCAGTGGTTGAGAGTCCGCCTGCCGATGCAGGGGACGTGGGTTCGTGCCCCAGTCCGGGAGGATCCCACATGTCGCGAAGCGGCTGGGCCCGTGAGCCACGGCCGCTGAGCCTGCGCGTCCGGAGCCTGTGCTCCGCAACAGGAGAGGCCACAACAGTGAGAGGCCTGCGTACTGAAAAAAAAAAAAAAAGCTCTATCAAAGTAAGTTAAGTAATGAGACTATGTACTTCTGGGGATGTTCAATCACTGAGTATGTTTTAATCAGACAACACACCATCAAAGAAGGATACCAAGGAGAATGATGGAGAGAGCTGTTAGGAAACAGTGTGGTCTTTGGAAAAGAAAGTCTTCGACAAATTGTGAAGACAATGAAATGAAGGAGGAGAGAAGATAAAGAATATTTTTAACAGAGTGAGTGAGAGAAAATAGAACAGAATTTTATTTTTTATATTACTGAGGATTAGTTTGACTTCAAGTAACAGAAAATCCCCCAAAGAGAGGCTTATACAAAGTATGAGATTATTTTTGTCTCCTGTGACGGTCCAGTTAGGCGACCCAGGGCTGGTGTGGAAAGCGCTTCAAAGTCCTCAAGACCCCAGGCCCCCTCGGCCTCCCACTCTGCCATCCCTAAGAGTGGTCAGCCTCCTCATGGCCCAGGATGGCTGGGTCCTGGCAGAGGGGCTGGAGAAAAGAGGGCAAAGAGCAGACACTGGGTGTCTTGTAAGGAAAATTCCCAGGCGCTGCCGCATGATACTTCTGTCCCCATCTCATCAGTCAGAACTTAGCAACAGGGAAGCTGGGACATAAGGTGTGGTGTCTGAGAACCCATATCCCCAGCTGAAAAACAAGGGATTCTGTTACTGAAGGAGATTTTTAAAAATGGATATAGGGGCTTCTCTTGTTTTCTCTGTCACAGTGTCATAAAATATATGTATATTTTAAAAAGCATGGCTAAGAGGTTGTACCTTCATAATAGCTGAAAATTACTCTCCAGATCTTAATGAAAATGATTTTTAAAGTGAAGATTCCATCCTAGAATTTTATCTTGAAGCTGATTAGCCTTGAGACATAATAATCCCCTCACTTGCAGATAACACTGGATTTTACTCCACGGTCAAGGCTGTCTAAAGCAGTGAGAGCAGTTGGTTTGCCCAGGTCTTTATGACCCTGGCTTACTAACTCTTTCTCAGAGTCACTTTTAAAAGGAAAATAAATCCATTATCATCATTACATTGTTAAATTCAGTGAACTGTAAACCAACAATGTGAGCCTCATGGAAACCCTGTCCTCACTCAGAAGCACAGCTTTGCAGTAACTGCCACACTGCGTTCCTTTGGCTCTGAGCTCCAGCAGCCAACTCCCTTGGTTTACTTTGTGTTGTAGCCCATCCTAGTGCATCTCTCCCCTCTGCTGTCCACCCTGCCCACCAATGCCTGAAGACTCTTCCGAGGGCATTGCTGACAACGTGGAACTGTGCTCACCATGTAACTAACATATTGTGCTCCAGTGCCCACTACCTTAAAACAACTTCTTGGCCTGGCCTCCCAGATCCATCAAAATCTTACTCACCCTAATCCAACCAGAGTTTCCTCTGAAATGTTGCTATTACACCTGGTATTTGGGGGAAGATGTTAAAGGTATTTTGTGCTTTCCTCCACCATTCTATGCCCTTTGCCTCTTATTGTTACCACTAGGTGATTAGTGGTCCGCTCACTAATAACATAATGGGCTCTGTGGTTTAAACAAAATCGGTTTTCCAACAGGAATGTTAAGAACCCCAGAGAAGTAACATACCTATGTTTAAATGCATTAAAAATAGATTTATAATGGTAAACATATATTAATTATTAACATGAAAAACTAAGCCAATGTACCAACTAGAAAAATAATTGAAAAAAAATTTAAGTACAAGCAAATCATTCTATCTTTTTTCTTCTTGTGGTAAGAACACTTAATATGAGATCTACGCTCTTGACAAAGTTTTAAGTGTACAAAACAGTATTGCTAACCATAGGCACAGTATTGTGCAGCACGTGTCTAGAACTTTCTTGCATGACTGAAACTTCATACCAGTTGGACAGCAACTCCCTTTTCCCCGTCCCCTGGCCCCTGGCAACCACCATTCTCCTCTCTGCTTCTAGGAGTTTGACTACTTTAGATATCTTTCTTTGAAAGAAACCAGTTTGTTTAAGTGTTGTTGGTTCTGCTTTTTAGAAAATGCCTATCATTCTCTCTGTTTCCTCTTCTTTACTCCTATTGATTACCTATTTAAGTGCGAGAGATCTGTGAGCAAAAGGGACTACTAATATCTACTCTAATTAATATTCAGTTTATTAAAGTTGAACACTTTATTTTACCTTTTTTAAGCCTTCAAACTTAACCTATAAATCTAACTTATAAATTCTTTTTGTAAATACAGTGATTTATGTAAAAATGAGAATGACTGCTTTTTTATTTGATTAGTGTTCAATTAATTTATATATTTAAAAAGACTAAGTTTCCTCAACTGACCACGTTTACACATGTAATTAAGTTTCCTAAAATATTTTTCAACTACCCTTACAAATTTGATATATTTGATTTTCTGAAATATTTCAAATGCCTGATGGGGCAACACTTACAAAACCCAGCAAGTAAAATCTTTCTACATCTCAATTAACTCTTACAAATCTAATAAAACTAACTTATACCTGTCGTAAATTGGGTTCTCTTAAACATTCAAACACTATTTACGAACATGTTCAATTATTTTACAACTTTCAGATGAAAATCAGAAATGGAGTACCAATTTATCATTTCAAAATAAAATCACAAGGCTAATTGGTTAGATTCTCTTAAACATTTCAAACTCCTTAAATAACAAACACAAACTTAACTCGTAAAACTTAACACGGAAGTAATAATACTACAAGTTTGATTGGCTTCATCATCTGCATATTTTTTCTACGTCTTTTCCATGGAAGTAAAGTCACTTTAACCAGCCAAGGGGAGCAGGAAGGCAATTCAGGCAGGATGGAGTTATTTAGAACTGCCATACAGATTCTCAGTAAGACATACAAGACTAGGATTTTTTTCCTGGATGATCCTATCTGAGCAACGGGTTAACACACTGAGCTGCTTTTCATAGTTGGATTGGTTCTGTCTACTGTGTCACCGGAGGAGGAGTGTGCCATGCATCCCAGAGTGTCTTTCAAAGTTCACCCTTATCCTAATTTTATCATAGCCTCTTTCACTTTTTAACACATGATTTGGGTAGATAGAATTCTGCAGTCCCCCTTGGGGTGTAGCCTATCTTTTCACCAAGTGATTAGATTTAATTGAATTTTCCATCCTCTTCAGTTTATAGAACTCTTTGTATCTTTTACTTCATTATCTGTTTCATTGTGGCAGAGACTGGCTGGGTCCTCACCTCACCTGTTTCCTCTTCTTCTTGGGCACAGAGCCAGACTTCGTTTCACATCTTCTCCTGCAGTTAGGTGTAGCCCTGGGGCTGATTTTCGGCCAATGAAATATGAGTAGCCTGCCCCATAAAACGTCCCCAGGCTCCGTCATCCAGGATCTTTCCTCTTCTGCAGGCTTGATGCTGAGCAGCAGGGCAATCATGGAAGCTATGTATTAAAGATGGTAGAGCCATGAGTTGCAAGGGCTCTGGATTGGAAAAGTGGTTATCTCACTCAAGGTCGCCTAGTGAATCTGTGGCAAAACTCCAACTAGACACAAGGTCTCATGACTCCCAGGCTGGTCTCTTTTTCAAGTTAAGCTGCATCCATTTTGGACTTGACCTGAGTGAAAAATAAACTTCAATCATGATGTTAAAGCCATTATGTATTTTTTGGAACTGTCTGTTATGTTAACTTAAATGACCACTAACCTTTGTTTATTGTCATTAGAATGAAAAATCCTTAAAGCTGGTGATAGTGATGAATCAAATTCATATAATGTTAGTTAACGTTGCACGTCCTGAGTCAATGGAAAACATGAAGTGGAGGTGTTGGGTATATGATTGTTCAGAGTCATTCTTGCCCTTTACATCAAAACCTGACCTAACTCATTTTTTTCAAATAGAAACTAACACTGTGAGACTTGTACACCATTTTAGATACCTTTTTAAAAAACATCCAATAAAACAAAAATCAGCAGCCCATTGACAATTAAATCAGCTACAATTCATGAGATAAAAATAAACCTATTGCTCAGCTATAAATATTCTCAGTTTTATGATCAGACAGAAGAATTTCTCCAAGGGCTTTGATAAACAGGAAACTATGTGATACAATGGACAATATCCTTGACAGACAAAACAATGTATCAGCTACTCAGTCTCTTAAACAGGCCAGATGCACATATTCAAGGCATTAAATTGAAAATGATTAAAAATAGAGATTTTTTTTTCTTCTAAGAAATAAAAATGTAAAGGTATAGTACTGTAACAAAGTTCAATAATAAGGCTCCCATTCTTTTTTTTTTTTTGCCTCTGGTTACTTCACATTCTGCTTTTGGCATTTGAGGTTGCTAAAGGTTATGGGTTTCTGAAAGCATTGTTTTCATGCACAAACAGGCCTGTAGTCAGACAGCTTTGTGCTTACAGACCAGTCACAGTTTCCCTCTTTGGTTCTACACCAACTGGTTCTGCCACGTGTGGGTTGCAACTGCCTCAGGAAACACTTTAATCTAAATGGAACAACACACATTAGATTTGAAAATAAAACTACTCATGAATGTATTTCTTTCAAAATTGATTGTAACTCTCCCCCCACCACATGCAAAAAATTAAAACTTAAACTTCTCTGTGAGAAGAACCTGCAGGGACAATAAAAACAGACTTTAGTACTGAAATCCACAGGAGAGAGAAAAGAGGCAAATGATGGACATTTAGGAAGAAGTGTTAGAATAAATATTAGTAAAGCAGAGGATGGGTATGTAATGTTCTTTCCATAAATTGTATCAGTGATCAGTGCATTCAAGTAGCAAAAATCTGACTAAAAGCGATTTCAACAAACAGGGTTTACATTTCTCCAAACACACAAAGGGTAGAAGTAGGCAGTTAATGATGTCGATTCATCAGCTCAGTGATGTGATGCATGCTAATATCTCTGCAGTTCTCTTGGCCTTTCTTTATCCTAACAAGATGACGGCCCTCAAAGTCTGCTGTAGCTCCAGGCATTATACCACTTTCAAGGAAGGAAGAAAAGGAGAAGTGGGTCACAGTGACAATACTCTTTTATCAGAAAAGCAAAAGCTTTCTCCATGTGACTGTGTCAAATGGACTTTCCTAGCTACGGAGGCTGAGAAAGTGAACACGTAATGATTGGAGATGGGCAAAAGGAGATGGGAAGGGCCCACAGGTGGGTCAGGCAAACAACAGGTGCTGGAAGAGTGGATGGCTTGTAGTACTCACGCCTTCTTGATCTTCTCACAATGCATTTCTGAAGCCAAATAATTCTACACGACATGCTTTTCTCAGTTCATGTGAGACACATGAGTAGGACTTCATGCTTTAGAGAAAAATAATGCTGAACTTTCCCATTTTTGTCCTGCCATCAAGTAGTGACTTCCCCCAGCTCATCTTCCTCCCTATCTCAAACATTCAAATACTCATAATGAAATCCTACCTAAACTTCCTAAGAAAACACACCAAATTATCCATGAACATGGCGGAGGAAAGACTTCCTGGTTTCTGAAACATTTCACCTATTCCAAGGAAGAACTTTGAAAATCAGCTAGCAAAGGAATTTCTAGAAAGTAACAAATTTAAAAAAGACAATCACAAAATCCAAAAATTCTGAATGCCCAATATAACCTATTAAAAGAGATTTGAACATTAAAAAATAAAGCCAAACTCCCCTTTTATATTATGATAGATGATAAATCCACCTGGAATGGATCCAATGGTACTACAGCTTTCCCAATTATAGAACCTTCACATTTGGGGGCTATTTTATAATACAAAGAAAACATAGCATATTCCTGCTGAAAAGAGCGAATGGCAGCCCAGCCTCCCCCCCGCTCCACCTTACCCCTACCCCCAACCCACCCCAAGCTCTGAAACAAGGCAGTGAATTGTATTTAGCTGTAGCTTAAATAGGGCTGGTTTACCTCTGATTCCAGCTATGTATTCGTCTGGCTATGCTGCTAGGCGAACTGTGCTTGAGAAGAACTGGCTCAGTAATCCTGGGCTATGTTCAGGTACAATTAGGCACAATGTCTAGCAGAATTTTCCTCTGTGATATCTTATTATATTTAAGCAAGGGAATTAATTACAGGGCAGCACTTGCCTGATTGCATCTCTGAGTTACATTACTGCTAAAGACTGGACAAGGTGGTCACAATATCCTGGCTGAATTTGAAAGCATGCTTCCTGTTATGAGGCCTCTCCAGCTGAAGAGAAGAAAGAGTGTGTACAAAGAGGGAGAAAATTAAGTCCACATGGTGAGTTGCATGCAATGAAATTGCCTGCTAGAAAAGGGCTGCATCCTCCCCAGATCAGATACGTCTAAGTTCTACCTCCAGGAAAATATCTTCAGAGGGAAAGACTCTTACTCTTTTATCAGTCTAGAATCCGCTATAGAAAGCCTATAGAGAGCTCTGGGAGTTCCCTGGCGGTCCAGTGGTTAAGACATCGTGCTTCCACTGCAGGGGGCACAGGTTCAATCCCTGGTTGGGGAACTAAGATCCCACACGCTGCGTGGTGATAAGTAAATAAATAAATAATCCAACGTCTAATTGTTTAAAAAAAAATCCCATAAATATAGCTAATAAGATGGAATGAAGCACTGATACATGCTACCACGTGAGTAAACCTTGAAATTATCACACTTGAGTGATAGAAGCCAAACACAAAAGGTCATACGATTCTATTTACATGAAATGTCCAGAATAGGCAACTCCATAGAGACAGAAAGTAGATTAGTGTTTACCAGGGCCTGGAGGAAATGGAGAATGAAGAGTAATTGCTAATAGGTACAGGGCTTCTTTTTGGGGTTATGGAAATGTTCTGGAATTAGAAAGCAGTAGTGACTATATTAAAAACCATAGAAGCATACACTTTAAAATGATGAATTGTATGTTATGTGACATATACCTCAATTTTTTTAAAAGCCCACTTATGGGAGAGGGTAATTGAAAAAAATAAATGATGAGGGACTCCCCTGGTGGCACAGTGGTTAAGAATCCACCTGCCAATGCAGCGGACATGGGTTTGAGCCCTGGTCCGGGAAGATCCCACATGCCATGGAGCAATAAGCCCATGCACCACAACTACTGAGCCTGTGCGCCACAACTACTGAGGCCCACGCACCTAGAGCCCGTGCTCCGCAACAAGAGAAGCCACCACAATGAGAAGCCCGCGCACCGCAACGAAGAGTAACCCCCGCTCGCTGCAACTAGAGAAAGCCCGCGCGCAGCAATGAAGACCCAACGCAGCCATAAATAAATAGATAGATAGATAGATAAATTAATAAATAAATAAATAGATAAATAAAATTTATTTAAAAAAATAAGGACTATACTAATGCACACATGAAGATGGAATAGTACATATTTTGGGATGCTGAACACTGTGGTAGAAAAAGCAGTGGGCTGAAAGTCAGGAGCCTAGTAACTCTAAAGTCACTTAACTTCTCTGGGCCTCAATCTTCTGGTCCTCACACAGCATGCAGACAGCCCTGGCAGAGATCCTACTACTTTCAAGGTGCGCCTCAAAGTGGGATTGCCTTGACCCCGCCTTTCCAGAACCCAGTTCTTTGGGGTCAAGTGCTTTTGGAAGCCAAACAGCCTCCTTCCTTCTCTCACAACTTCCACCTCCTTCCCTCAAGTCAGTCCAATTCTGTGCCTCTGACCAGGGTAGCAAATCTGAGGCCAGAGTTCAGGCACAAGATCCATGTACAAGTTTTTTAAACATTTTGAATGACAGTGAGTCCCCTACGTTTGAACCTTCAAGTTGTGAACTTTCAAAGATGCAAACGTGCGTTCCATCAATGTCAGGCCTGAGTGAAATTGCAGCCTGCCCTCCATCTCCCATTGCCGAGGATCCTTCAGCTCTACCATCTCCCACCTCCTCTCACTCCTCCAGTCAGTAACTCTTCTTGCCTGTTCACTCGATGCCAGCACCTGTATGCCAGCTGTTGTACTGTACTACTGTACTTTTCAAGGTACTGTACTGTAAGATTAAAAATGTTTTATTTTTTGTGTTTGTTTTTTATGTATTATATGTGTGAAAAGTATTATAAACCTAATAGCCAATTGTGTTAGTTGGGTACCCAGGCTAACTTTGTTGGACTTACAAACAAATTGGACTTACAAATTGGACTTACGAACGCACTCACAGAATGGAACTCGTTCGTATGTAGGGGACTTACTGTATTTATGTCTTTAATGTCTTTTAGCTATGTTCTGTAGTTTTCATTGTGCAAGTCTTTCACCTGCTTGGTTAAGTTAATTCCTAAATATTTTATTCTTTTTGATGTTATTTTAAATGAATTGTTTTAAATTGTTTATATGTTTCCTTTTCAGATTGTTCATGGTTCATGTACAGAAATGCAACTGATTTTTATGTGTTAATTTTGTATCCTGTTACTTTGCTAAATTCATTTATTAGTTACAACAATTTTTTGTGTGGAATCTTTAGGGTTTTCTACATGTAAGATATCAACTGTGAACAGAGATAATTTTACTTCTTCCTTTCCATTTTGGATGCTTTTTACTACTTCTTCTTGCCTAATTGCTCTGGCTAGAACTTCCAGTACTATGTTGAATAGAAGTAGTGAAAGGGAACATCCTTGCC